TATTGGAAGGATTTCTTATGTGACAACACTCTTAGCTTGAAGGAGCCCCCAAGGGGGAAAACACCCTAGCCCCGTCTCACGGACCGAAATCAACCTGCGGTGGGGACCGACACGATCCAACGCGAAGCGGGGTGAATAAATGTCAACAGCCCATAGTCAAAATTATCAGTATCAAGCTTCTCAGCGCCTTTTCATTGGCGGCTTAGCTGCACCGTCTTGTGAAACTACATTTTCAGGCTCCCAGCAATCTGACTGACATTTAGCCATTGTCGGGGCTACGTCATCGCCTTCCCTTCTTCTTGCCACCTTTGCCTTTACCTCCTTGCTTGCTTCGGCGTTTGTTCACCCGGGATCGTGACAGGGCCTCAAAGAAAGCACGGCAGCGGCAATTGAAAGATGGTGAAAGATGGACAGGTCACACTTGTCGCTCGAGCAACACTTAGGGCCCCAACATCATTCCTTCTCTCATGGCTCACACCCACCTTGCAGTGCCGATGCCGATCTCAAACTGACTGGATCTGAACATCTCTGATCAATTCTGATGATCTTTATATATCTTTATATGCCATATGATCCATATATGATCCATATGCAAATCTCTGCTGTGAAATCTGTCAAACTCTTAGTGTCCGCCTGCGCGGCCTTGTGCTTGTCAACAGGGCCATCGCCCGACAAGACTCGGCCCACAGCTTTCAGGTAGTTGTCCTGAGCACTCGGAGAACTACACAGAACGACTTGGATCGAATTCTCTGAGAGGACAAGCCCAACATCCCAACAGTTTGATAAATAGATCAATATTTCAAGAAAGTTTCAAGAAAGTTTCAACATATCAATGTATTTCATTATGTTTCATTCTTCGTGTTTTCGTCCATGAGAAAACAGCAGCGAGGAGAAAAACTGAAGCATACAGTCGCACATAGCATCATGAATGCAACATGAATGCATCATACAGCATCTTTCAATTCTTTCGGCAGGGTGTTGGATCAAATCTCCCAACCTTCTCGACGCCACCGCTGACAGGTGCTACGCCTTTCTTGCGCTTGGGCTGCAAATTGGTGGCCTCCAAATGGCAACGTGGCACATTTGATTAGATTGATTTAGATTGATTTAGATTGATTTGGATTGATTTGGATTGATTTGGATTGATTTAGATTGTAGATCCTATACCTGCAGTCTCCAAATCTTTGGAAACACAGGCAGCCAGAAAACATATGCCATAAAATGCCATAAAATGATGCAAAATGATGCAAATCTATCCGACGTTTTTTCTATGTTGGCTTCGGCACCTTTTGGGACACCAGGCCTCATTGGGCGCCACCCGGTCAAACTTCCCATAGGAGGCGGAAGAGACCTGCCCAGACGACTCGGAATCCAGAGACCAAAGTGACCAAAGTGACCAAAGTGGCCAAACAATTCACAGAATTCCATGCGTTCAATTTCTCGCCCTGAATATCCCTGAATGCCCTGAATTCCGTCCTTGCCTGTGCTCTCTTGATGGCCTCCTTCAATCCATCCTTTCCACGTTTCCTCAGCATAGCAGGCGTAGCACTTACCCTCGTGTGCCCTCGTTCAAAGGCAGTGTTTCTGTCCTTCAAGCTTCGTCAAATGTCAACAGCGATGTGAGCTGTGTTTCCAGCTGGCTGTTGGACAAATCTGGCACGCTGGCTCGAAGTTTTCCTGGCGCGAAGCATCGCTTCACAGGGAGCCCGGAGGTGGGCTTCTCCCAGCTTTGAATACACGGCAAACCCAGGATCAGCGAGATCAGAAGTACAGAAAATGTTGAGATGACAAGGACCTGCGAGCTGTTCCGACCAAAAAGAAGCAGAACTACTATACACAGGAAGTTAAACAGCTTCAGATCAAATCAAAAAAAACTTTCCAGCTCAATGTCCAGGTAACATGAAAAACTCCAGCCTCCAGCAGCTTCTACTTTGTTTCTCACCTGCAATCTTGACCGAGATGGCTGGAGATCTGGGGAGATGTCTGAAGATCTAAACAATCATCATGACCCATTTGCAATCCCTCATGATGATTGTGTAATTGTAGCCTGGGCCTGGCAATCACTCATCCGCTTAAGCCATTTCCGCAGGGAAGGACCTCCCAGCGCAGGCCTCGCGCATCTTCTGTCGAGCTTTGAGAAGCCGCTGCTCAGCTTTTTCCTGCAATGATAAACCATCCCAAATTGGGGCTTTATACGGCGCGTCACCCCCGTTTGGGTCCAGTTTCATTCAAGATTCGAATTGAAGCAGTTTTTGCATTTTGCAGCTTCAATTTCAAGGATCCCATGCATGAAACATGAGGAAAGTCGTCACGTTGGGTCACTGCATGGCACTGCATGGCACTTGCTGCACCGGACCTGGTCAAAGGGGTTCTGGTTGGGATCATCGCGGTCGCCAACCTACACGTCACGACGTCACGACGTCACGGCGTCACGACGTCACGGCGTCACGACGTCACGTGCCGTTGGATGATGGATATGTTGGGGTAGTATAAAATGACATAAAAATAGTGTAAACATGTATAAACCACTATAAACCTACAGTATCCTACCATAATCAACCAACGAGGGTTCACGATTTGCCCGGTTCCTTTGCCTCTTGAACCCAATTGGCGTTTTGCTGAGACTTCTTGATGCTGTTGTAGCCTTGGTTTCAGACGCTTCAGGAGCTTGAGAACATTGACCAAATCACCCACAATTCCTTCGTAAAACTTGGCTCTGCCGCTGAACAGTTTTTTTTTACCTACAACGACATCTTGATGACCAGGATGCAGACATCTATAGGGGATTTAATCCAGGATTAGATGGGATTATCCGCCGACCCCTGCCAACAGCAGGGGGAGCGCGTCAGAGAAGAGATTACAAGCAACAAGTGTTGTGCAGTGCAAGTGAGGGGCAAGCGAGGGGGGGACAGAAAGGGAAGCCAGGTGCAGAGTAAGAAGCCCAAAAAAGGAAGCGAGAAAGGAGAGGCAGTCTCAGCGAACGTAGCAAGCGAAAGAAGCACGAAACAAGAAGTTAGAAGCAAGAATGCAGAAGCAAGAGTAAACGAGCGACAGAAAGTAATGTTTGGCACTCTGGGCTACGGGCCGCGGGCCCAATCCGTCCTTCACTGCCATGGTGTTTTAGCCCTGCGAGGAAGTCCCTTGACCGGAGCTGTGCCGCACGAAAGCCAGCTGTCAGACAATGCAGGCAAGTTGGCAGTTGGCAGTGCAGGAACGCAGGGAAAAGCTAGGTTTGAGCTGCAAGACGACGCAGGCAAAGTGGCAGTTGGCAGTGCAGGAAGGCAGGGAAAAGCAAGGTTTGAAGCTAGTTTCTAGGCAGTTCAGAAAGCAACGTTAGGCACCGTGGGCTGCCGGCTGCGGGCCCGATCCGTCCTTCAGTGCCATGGTGTTTGGGCCCTGCGGAGGGGTCCTTTGACCGGACCTGTGCAGGACGCACGCCAGCTGCAAGAAGACACGGGCAAGCTAAGTTTGGAGCTCGTTTCTAGGCAATTCAGAAGGCAACGTTAGGCAGTGGGGGCCGTGGCCCGCAGGCCCCGTCCGTCCCTCAGGGCCCTGCTGTTTAGGCTGATGATTGTGGCGGGTGGAGCGCAGCCATGTGTGAGCAATTGGAGGCTGGAGAAGACAGGTCGTGGAGGGTCGTGGCGGCCGTGGCCCGCAGGCCCGGTCCGTCCCTCAGGACCGTGCTGTTTTGGCGTGGCAATCGCGCCGTGTATGAGCTTTGGCGGCTGGAAGACAGGTCAGGCAGCTTGCTTTCTTGTAGGTTCAGAAAGCAACGTTAGGCAGTGGGGGCCGTGGCCCGCAGGCCCGGTCCGTCCCTCAGGGCCTTGCTGTTTCGGTGTGGCGAGCGCGCCTTGTTTGAGCCTTGGCGGCTGGAAGACAGCAAAGAGAGTTACTTTTCTTGTAGGTGCAGAAAGCGACGGTAGGCACTGAGTGCGGTGGCCTGCAGGCCCGGTCCATCCTTCAGGGCCCTGCTGTTTGGCTGTGGCGGAGGCGCCGTTTTAGGTCAGACGGCTGCTTTTCTTGTGGGTTCAGGGGGCGACGTTAGGCAGTGGGGGCCGTGGCCCGCAGGCCCCATCCGTCCCTCAGGGCCCTTCTGTTTCGGTGTGGCGAGCGCGCCCTGTGTGAGCCTTGGCGGCTGGAAGACAGGTCGTGGCGGCCGTGGCCCGCAGGCCCGGTCCGTCCCTCAAGACCCTGCTGTTTTGGCATGGCAATCGCGCCGTGTGTGAGCTTTGGCGGCTGGAAGACAGGTCAGACAGCTAGCTTTCTTGTAGGTTCAGAAAGCAACGTTAGGCAGTGGGGGCCGTGGCCCGCAGGCCCCGTCCGTCCCTCAGGGCCCTGCTGTTTCGGTGTGGCGAGCGCGCCGTGTTTGAGCCTTGGCGGCTGGAAGACAGGTCGTGGCGGCCGTGGCCCGCACGCCCGGTCCGTCCTTCAGGGCCCTGCTGTTTGGCTGTGGCGGAGGCGCCGTTTTAGATTAGACAGTTACTTTTCTTGTAAGTTCAGAAAGCAACGTTAGGCAGTGGGGGCCGTGGCCCGCAGGCCCCGTCCGTCCCTCGGGGCCCTGCTGTTTCGGTGTAGCGAGCGCGCCCTGTGTGAGCCTTGGCGGCTGGAAGACAGGTCGTGGCGGCCGTGGCCCGCAGGCCCGGTCCGTCCCTCAGGACCGTGCTGTTTTGGCGTGGCAATCGTGCCGTGTGTGAGCTTTGGCGGCTGGAAGACAGGTCAGGCAGCTTGCTTTCTTGTAGGTTCAGAAAGCAACGTTAGGCAGTGGGGGCCGTGGCCCGCAGGCCCCGTCCGTCCCTCAGGGCCCTGCTGTTTCGGTGTGGCGAGCGCAGCCTGGCGGCTGGAAGAAAGCTAAGAGAGTTACTTTTCTTTAGGTAAGAAGGCCGTGGCCCGCAGGCCCCGTCCGTCCCTCGGGGCCCTGCTGTTTCGGTGTGGCGAGCGCGCCCTGTGTGAGCCTTGGCGGCTGGAAGACAGGTCGTGGCGGCCGTGGCCCGCAGGCCCGGTCCGCAACGCGCCGTGGTTGGGTTGGTGTGTGTGAGCTTTGGCGGCTGGAAGACAGGTCAGGCAGCTTGCTTTCTTGTAGGTTCAGAAAGCAACGTTAGGCACTGAGGGCGGTGGCCTGCAGGCCCGGTCCGTCCTTCAGGGCCCTGCTGTTTGGCTGTGGTCAGACAGCTACTTTTCTTGTAGGTTCAGAAAGCAACGTTAGGCAGTGGGGGCCGTGGCCCGCAGGCCCCGTCCGTCCCTCGGGGCCCTGCTGTTTCGGTGTGGCGAGCGCGCCCTGTGTGAGCCTTGGCGGCTGGAAGACAGGTCGTGGCGGCCGTGGCCCGCAGGCCCGGTCCGTCCCTCAGGACCGTGCTGTTTTGGCGTGGCAATCGCGCCGTGTATGAGCTTTGGCGGCTGGAAGACAGGTCAGGCAGCTTGCTTTCTTGTAGGTTCAGAAAGCAACGTTAGGCAGTGGGGGCCGTGGCCCGCAGGCCCGGTCCGTCCCTCAGGGCCCTGCTGTTTCGGTGTGGCGAGCGCGCCGTGTTTGAGCCTTGGCGGCTGGAAGACAGCTAAGAGAGTTACTCTTCTTGTAGGTGCAGAAAGCAACGTTCGGCACTGGGGGCCGTGGCCCGTAGGCCCGGTCTTTCCTCAGGGCCTTGCTGTTTGGCTGTGGCAGAGGCGCCGTTTTAGGTCAGACAGCTACTTTTCTTGTAGGTTCAGAAAGCAACGTTAGGCAGTGGGGGCCGTGGCCCGCAGGCCCGGTCCGTCCCTCAGGGCCCTGCTGTTTCGGTGTGGCGAGCGCGCCGTGTGTGAGCTTTGGTGGCTGGAAGACAGGTCAGACAGCTAGCTTTCTTGTAGGTTCAGAAAGCAACGTTAGGCAGTGGGGGCCGTGGCCCGCAGGCCCGGTCCGTCCCTCAGGGCCCTGCTGTTTCGGTGTGGCGAGCGCGCGGTGTTTGAGCCTTGGCGGCTGGAAGACAGCTAAGAGAGTTAGTTTTCTTGTAGGTGCAGAAAGCGACGTTAGGCACTGAGGGCGGTGGCCTGCAGGCCCGGTCTGTCCTTCAGGGCCCTCCTGTTTCGGCGTGGCGAGCGCGCAGGGTTCTGTTGTTTGGTGAAGGCTCCGTTTGTGATCAGTTCTGCACGGGCCATCGGTCGGTGCGACACTGCTTTCCGTTGGGCGTACGATGCGTTATTTGAATTTGACCGGAAGCTTTTGTTGAATGCACCACTGTGCCGCATGTTGGACATGTGTGCGCAAGTGTACGGCCTGCAAGCAGGCCATTCGCAACGCGAAATTTTTTGCCGCAGCCATCACCGCGGCGGTGATAGACTTGCCCTGTTGCCACAGTGCTTTGCACAGATTTGGCGCAATGCGGGCAGAGGTATGTGTACACCCGCGGCGTCGCTGTGTCGGGCTCCGCAGCAAGCTGCTGTGTCGATGAATGGGCAACACCCGTTCTGGTTTCGTCTGTTCCCATCGACGTTTGTCTAGCCTCGTGGATTTTCTGAATCTCCTTGCAAACGTCTGCTAGGATTGCTTCGTGTCGTTGACGGGATTCGCGTTGGCGCAAGCGGGCCAAGCGTTGATTCGTGCGATGAGCAAGACGACACACGAAGGCAAAGGCTGTGCATGCATTGCATACTTGTGTACCATCCTGCGTATGTTTCCGACTTTGCTGCCAAGCTGTGAACTCTGCTCGTGGCTTGCATTCGCTGCACTGGGAACATTGCCAACACCCCCGCTGTTTGGTGGTACATTCTCTGCAGCGGCGGCGGTCCGCGTTGCGAGCTTTCCATGCGGCCGGTCCAAATTCGGCTTCCGGTTTTGCAACGCCACATTTGAAACACGGTTTCTTCATTTCACATGTCAAACACACACGGAAAAAACTACATTGCCGTTGGCGGTGCTTTTCCGGAAAATTGGTCTCGACATGCCACAGCTTGCACACGTTGCATTGCCATGGCGTCCCGGCATCTGCGTAATGCTTTGTGCATTCGCGACAAACGCGATCTTTGTCGTCGCGCTTCCACTGGCCAGCGGTGAAAGCTGTAGATGGCTTGCGCTCTGCGCAAGTTGAACACGCGCGTTCTTCACAATATTTGGCCAGCAAGTCCTGCCAATTGATCGGTTCCCTGCGAAGATGTCGGAGCAGCAGGTCCCGCCCTAAACCAATACCTTGTAGCTATAGCAGAAGAGGCCTCAGAGCCCTGCTGTTTCGGTGTGGCGGAGGAGCCGTTTCTGGGCTGGGCGGCTGGAAGACAGCTAGACAGCTATATGGGTGCGAGTCAATAATCGGGTATGGATTGCTCCGCGGTGATCCGAACTATGGATCAGGAGTGGTTACGTAAGGTACCTGCTCCGTACCCTTTCGTAAGCGCTCATCATAGCATACAAACGGTGCTGATACTCCTACTCTCTCCTACCTGCTATTACTTCTCCTCCTGCTACTGTTGCTGCTAAAACTGTTGCCACTGCTAGTAGAGGGAGCAGTAAAAAAAACAACACCAGCAGCAGTAGCGGCAATACAAGGAGGAGCTGCAGTAGCAGTAGAAATAGCAGTAGCAGTAACAGTAGTACTAGTAAGAGTCAAAGTAATAACAGTAAAATAATCTAATGGAGTAGTAGTAATAGTAGCAGCAGCAGTAGTAGTAGAAGTAGTAGTAGTAGCAGCAAAAGTAAAGTAGAAGTACAAGCAGAAGTAGAAGTAGAAGCACAAGTAGCACAAGAAGCAGCAGCAGAAGTAGTAACAGATTCGGACTTTCATATTGGCACTTGTTGTGGCGTGACTGGGTTCGGATATGGACCAGGCATGGAACGGGTCTGGATCGGGGTATGGATCAGGACACCATGCTTTTTTAGTTCTACACGTGCCAGGCAAAGTAGAAACAGAAGGACTTGTAGTCATAGCACCACTAGAAGTACAATCAGCACCTAGTGGAAGTAGAACCGGTCTTACAAGCCTCCAAGGTGCACTTGCAATATTGCGAGTAGCTAGTCAACTAGTTACATTTGTCCAACAACCGAAGCACACGGAGAACGTGAGCCAGCACCAGCAGCGAGAGCACGACCAGCAGGAGCAGTAGCAGCAGCTCCTGGGAGGATAATCACTAGTAGTGGCGGCGGCAGCAGCAGCGGAGGCAGTGGAGGCAGCAGTAGAAGCAACGGTAGTAGCGATGGGAGTAGCAGTACGACGACCAGAAGCAGTATATATTAGGATAAAAAGCATCGTTAAGGCCAGCATCAGTCTTTCTTCAACGAGAAAGGGGTATGGATCTGGGGTATGGATCAAGGGTATGGATCAAAGTATGGATCGGGGGGTATGGATCGTGTGTAGCTTTGGCGCCTTGATCCATACCTTGTATTTTGACTCGTACCCATATAGTTTTCTTGTAGGTTCCGGAAGTGACGTATGTGTCAACTCCCCCTCTCTCCCAGGGGTCGGCGGCAGGGGGCGTAGCCCCTTAATTAGATGATTAATTAGATCTGGGTAAATTATAATAATTCACTAACCTGATCATTTGGGGATGATTTCCCTTACTAACCATGATTCCAGTGAGGTCACTGTGAGGTCGTTATAATTTACCCAGATTAGATTAGATGGGATTAGATGGGATTGGACATGGCTTAGTCTTGTTTTTTCCATGGCTCCATGGCCAGATCGCTCCCATCGAATCCCCAAGGCTCCACGCCCCATCGAGGCTTCCAGTCCCCTTCGATCTGGCGTCGGGGCGGCTCGGCAGCGATGATTTACCGGGAATTTACCTGGAAGAGCAACTAAAATGATGGGTTTATGATGGGTTTATGATGGTTGATGGGTTTAAAAAGAGGTTTCTAAACAACTTGGATAAGCCTTATAAGCCTCGAAGCGGTTGATTGGATCCAAGAATTCCGAGCCTCATCGAAAACGAGTCGACTTCTTTTCTTCTTTTTCATGTTCCTTTCCTGCAGGTGTGGGGCGTGTCAAGGGAAGACTGTGTCCTCGGAAAAATAATGTCAAAACATTGCGAACATGTTGAATCATGTTGAATCATGTTGATAACTGAGGATTAAAGTCTCCTCCTAACCAAAAATCTGTCATTTCGGGAGGTAGAGAGTAGTGTACAGGTAGAACTGATAGATCTCGGTAGAACAGCCCCACCGTTGCCTCCATGAACTTCTGCCACCGCGTTTTCGGCTTCTCCTTGGGGATGGGCTTCGATCGAGGCAATCGAAAGACTCCCTGGCGGAACCGCAGGCCGCAGCTATCTGCTGTAGCTGTAGCCACTGTAGCCATCCGTCTCTACCATGTGGATACTGTCAACTTGTTGCTACAAACATGCCGCTTATTTTCAATGATTTTTTTGCATCACATCATCACATCCCAATTCCATATATTCCATGTGCAGGTCCAAGGTATTAAGTCTAATTGCGTATTCACAACTTGCTCCAAATATCATAGCCCCCTGCCTCTGCAGGGAGCGAGACCAAAGTTCCTTCATCGCCCTTGTTTCGGGGCAATGCGAAGAGCTTGTTCACAAGGAGCCTTGGGAGTGGTGAGATGTGGTGACGCTCGCGCACATGCAGCTCACATACGAGTACAGTGCAACACCCCAGTTGTGAAGGCAACAGTTTTAAGGAGCAGATCCACCATGAGCAGAAAACTCTTAGGGTCTCGGAGAATGAGAAACACTAAGGCGCTAAGACGACCAAAAAGATCCAAAAGATCTGGGCGGATGCTTTTTTGGAGCAACTTAGAGTCCTGCTGAACAGAGTCTCTGGAGTAGGCCGCCAGATCAGTTCCCGCGGAACTCGGATGTAACACAGGTC